GTACTCTTTCCATCAGTAGCGTTTGCACATGAGGCCAGCACCCCATCCAGAGGTCCCCTCGCCAGTCCCATGCTGCTCCCTGCCCCAAAGGGGCTGAGTGCTAGTCTCCAGATGGCTGAGGGCAGACTCGGTCTCATGGGAGGGCCAGGCCAATGGAAGTGACCACCGCAGAAAGCCATGCCTGCAGGACAGGAGTGCTGCCCAGTTTTCTGGCTGAGCAACCCCCCAACAGTGAGTGGGGGTGAACCTTCCTGCTGGGGGCTAATTCCAGCAGGTCATAAATGCAAGAAGTTGATCAAGAGGCTGGTGGGCCTTGAGGCTTCAGCAGGGCTGAAGAGACATATTACTGCCTGCTGGAGTAGCTGAAAGTATTTCCCCAAACCTTGGCCGAACAGCTGAAGGCAGTGTCCCCAGCCTGACAATGCCTACTGTGTACCAGGCCTTACCTTTGAGTATGTATGTCTGCTTTGCTTTAGGGCAATTTGTGTTAATAAAAAGCTAAGGGGCCGGAGATTCAGAGGACTTGGTTACTGAAGCTAGGTCTCCTCTGCTTCCCAGAATGCCTTCCACATTTACATTTCATGTCTAGGCTCTTTATGACTTTACTTGCAGCCCCTTTTCCAGATTCCTGAACCCTTCTAGATGCTGAGAAACACCCCGGCGCCTTCCCCTTCTTGTCTGCAGGCTCTGGGCCACTGTAGAGGGCAAGGCACGCGTGTGTTACTAACCCCGTGACTTTACCCAGACCCACTGGCATGTCATCAAGGAGAATTCCTCCCAGACCCCTGCCAACAATTTGCCACTTTTCTGAAAGGCTCTAAGTTTTTGTCTTTTTCTATATCTTAATTAGCTTTTAAATTAGGAAGCTGGGAGATGGTATAAAACAAGGAAGATTGTCCTAATGCCATCTTAACTCTAAAATCCTATTATCTGTCATTTTTAATAGGAGAAGCTTAAAAAAAACACACGTGTCTATTAAACATCAGGCGCTGTTACATGCTAGAGTACAATGATGAATAAAGTCTGGCCCCTCGCCCTAAGGAGAGGTGTTCAGGGTCTGAGCAGGGAGGGGGCAGGGCACAGGGAAGGCAAGCAAGTAAACAACTAACTCTAATACCAGGCAGGAGAAAATAAACGCTAAATATAGGTACTGAGTGGCAAGAACAGGGAAGAGGAAGCAATGAATGCTGATGGAGCGATGAGAGAAGGCTTTATGGCCGAGTCTGCAGGGCCTCGCTCTGAGCCCACAGCAGTAAACTATAAATGAAGGGAACTACCCACACGCCCGAGGTGCTGCCAGCAGAGCCTGGGTCATCCAGGGGCAGCGGAGTCACTCTGAGGGGAAGGCCCCTCCCCCTGGGGCAGAGAGAAATGGGTCACACTGGGTCCAGGGGAAAGCAGTGGCCTAGCAGTGATGGCGAACCTTTTGAGCTCGGCGTGTCGGCATTTTGAAAAACCCTAACTTAACTCTGGTGCCGTGTCACGTATAGAAATTTTTTGACATTTGCAACCATAAAACAATGACTTATATTTTTATATTTATTTTATATATTTAAATGCCATTTAACAAAGAAAAATCAACCCAAAAAATGAGTTCGCCTGTCACCTCTGACACGTGTGTCATAGGTTCGCCATCACTGGTGAAGCAGCATCATGCAGGAGACCCCAGAGGACTCTGAGGCTCTGACAATTACCTAAGGGGAAATAACGCTAATGACCAGAGTGGGCACTTTCTCAGTCTCAGGTCGGGCAGGTGGTGGTTGGCGAAGCCTCAGGAAATGTGGGTGGGGTCTCAGCTGAACGGGCAGGAGTAAAGCACTGACTGGGTGCCTTTCGGTGCCAGGCACTGCAGAGCATTCTAATCTTCGTAACTCTGCAAATCCTTACTGAGCACCGGCAATGTGCCAAACACTGTCTTAGGCACCGGAGACGCAGTGGTAAACAAAACAAAAATCCTGCCCCTCGTGCACAAAGAAATAATTTGACATAAATTCAGTGATGCATACTTGTCATCAGTATTAAGTACTCTGAAATAAAATGAAGGGGAAAAAATATGAAAGGGAGTGCTATTGTTAAGAAGTGGTTAGGGGCCTGGCCAGCATGGCTCAGTGGTTGAGCATCAACCTATGAACCAGGAGGTCACAGTTCAATTCCCAGTCAGAGCACATGTCCAGGTTGTGGGCTCCATCCCTAATGTGGGGTGCGAAGGAGGCAGCTGATCAATGATTCTCTCTTATCATTGATATTTCTATCTCTCTCTCCCTGCCTCTCTGAAAATCTATCTATCTGCCTATCTATCTATCTATCTATCTATAAAATAAGTGGTTAGGGAAGGCCTCCTGGAGGAGGTGACATCAGAGCAGAGACCTGAATTAGCAAGAGTATGAGCCTTACATTTAGTGAAGTTTCCCTGGTCTAAAGAAGAAACACAGCTCAGAGAAGGGCAGTGGCTTTCCCTAGCTTACAAAGTTCCCAAGACATGACCAGGGGAGGGTGTTCCTCCTGAGATTCTGGGCTCAGGAGATGTACTGAGGTAGCGCCTGCCCCTCAGGCCTTCTGTTTACTGACAGTTGTGGTTTCACAGGCTCTCAGACCAGACCACCCGGTACCAGGTCAGCCCACTGGTTCCTTCACTTCACTTCCTCCCCTCCCCCTTTTCTCCCTTCCTTCTCTCCCTCTCCCTCTCCTGGTTTTCACAGCATTTTATTATCAACACTGCAAAGCTTGTTACACAAAAACACAAAGTGTCCGTTTAATGGATAATTATAGGAGAACCCCGGAGTAACCAGCGCCCACTGAAGAAACAGAATACTGCGTCACCCCCAGACCCCGCACGTGTTCCTTCCCATTTTCTTCTCACCTGTGGCGACCTCTTCCCTGCTTTTCTCATCATTAACCGCCTGCATATGTGTCCCTAAACAATAGAGTTTAGTTTTGCCTAATTTTGAACTTTATATAAATGGTACAACTGTATATATTCTTTGTGTCTTACTTCTTTCACCCAGCATCATGTTTACAAGATCCATCTGTTTCTGGGCTTACTGGTTTGCTTAGGGCTTCCTTAACAAAGGACCACAGACTGGCTGGCTTAAACATCAGAAGTTAATTTATCACAGATCTGGGGGCTGGACGTCTGAGATGAGGTGTCGGGAGGGTGGGTCCACTTCAAGGCCCCGAGGGAAGGATCTGTCCCAGGCCTCTCTCCTGGGCTTGTGGATGGCCTGGGTCTTCTCCTGGGTCTTTACATCATCTTCCCTGTACCTCTCTACACCTGCATTTCCTCTTCCTGTAAGAACGTGAGTTATATTGGATTAGGGCCCACCCATCTGACTTCATTTTAACTTAACTACCTATGTAAAGACCCTATCTCCAAATATGGTCACACCCTGAAGTAGGGGGTTGTTAGGACTTTACCATAGGAATAGTGTGTGTGGGGGGGGGGGCGGGGGGGTTACAATTCAGTCCCTAACACGGGATGTAACTAGTTCACTGGAACTTGGAGCTCCGACAACCATCTTGGGCGACGAGCTGTTGCCCTAAATGATAAAAGAGCCTAGCCCTGTGCCACAGTGGAGCCATCAGACCAAACCCTGAAAAACAACCTATTTCATGCAAGAGAGATACTAACCTGTCATTGTAAAGCCACTGTTATTTGATTTTCTATTAGATGAGGCAGAACCTAATCCTGACACTTAACGAAAATACACGCTTTCAGTTAAATACAAACATGTGTTTGCTTGAGGTAAGTTTTACTGCTTCCATTAAAATCATTCTTGCTGGTCAGTAAATGATAATATATTTGTCTCCACACTCAAATTTATTATTATTTTTTACTATTTCAGAGAAAGGAAAGGAGAAAGAGAGAGAGAGAGAGAGAGAGAGAGAGAGCGAGCAACATTGATGTGGCAGAGAAACATCAATCTGTTGCTTCCCGATCAGGGATCAAACCCACAACCTGGGTATGTGCCCTGACTGGGAATTGAACCCACCACCTTTTGGTGTATGGAATGATACTCCAACCATTGAGCTACATCAGCCAGGCCATATGCATTATTATTAACAATCAATAAATGGTAAATAAGGTGGGTTTCTTTTTATTTTTAACTAGAGGCCCAGTGCACGAAATTCATGTATGGGTAGGGTCCCTAGGCCTGGTGGTGATCAGGGCTGATCAGGTTCCCCGCCTCCCTGCCTCCCCCTTCCCTCAATCCCTCAGCATCCTGTGGCCATCACTGCTGGTTGCCAGCCATGTTCCGCGCCGCCCCCTGGTGGTCAGTGCACATCATAGCAAGCGATCGACCTCCCGGTCTCCCCGTGGAACTCCCAAGGGGACAATTTGCATATTTGCTTTTTATTATATAGGATTCGTCAATAGGCTAATTTGGGGCAACAAAGACCAATATGTCACTTCAGCAGACGCCTTACTCCTTACTCAAGCCACTTGAGTCATTCCCCAGCCAGGCCCAGGGAAAGGCAGTTGAAGCCGTAACCCTGACACCCTGCCCTGGGGTGGGTCCCGGAGCCCCTCACCTCCCCGAGGCAACAACACTCGCATCACCAGAGCCCAGAAGAGCTGGGTGTAAGTACAGATTAAGTTTCAGTTTTTATTTAAAGATCCTAATTTCTGGACGTTTATTTTGGGGATTACAGCGGTGGCTTAAGCTACTTTAAGACATTATAAGTTGAAGTCTTTCCTTCACTTGGCTGCTAAAGTTTAATTCAGTCTAATTATTTCATATGGCATCAACGATAATAGTTTCATAATTTCTAGTATATTAAGCACTTAATATGTTGTGTCATTTGAAATCACATATTAAACTCAGCAAAGTACATTTTAATGAGAGTTAAGTGGTGTGAAAATATTAATGCACTGTGATGGTTCATCATGATGCTCATATTTTGTAGGTCTGTTCCTGATGCTCACAGGCCTCGCTCACCAGGTAAGGGAAGCATTTAATTGCCTGAGGCTGGCATGGGTTCTAACAAGCTGACGTTCCTACCTTTTGCCGTACAGCGCTTCACAGTGGGGTTTCTCATTGGGCTTCATGACCCTATAAAGCAAGTAGGGAAATCATTATTTCCATTTTAGAGATGAAGAAACTGAGGGAGGCTTATTGCTGGGCCGTAAATATGGCCCTTCACGGCTCAAAGCCATTGCTGTTTGCCCCTGTGCCACAGCTGCTATCAGTGTAACCTGGGGGTAAATGATGTCTGGACTCAGGGCAGCGAGGATTTGGACAGAGCCACCCAGATGCTGGCAGACTTCATACCTGGACTTGGCAATTTTTTTTGCACCCTCTTTTTAGGTACCTTCCACAACCTAAACCTAAGCACCTCATGCTCTTGGGCCACCCTGGGGTTGCCAGAGAAAAAGAGTCTTTAAATCACAGTGAACCCTTAATGTAGCAACAGCTCAAAATAATCATGCATCGCCCTAACCGGTTTGGCTCAGTGGATAGAGCGTTGGCCTGTGGACTGAGGGTCCTGGGTTTGATTCCGGTCAAGGGCATATACCTTGGTTGCGGGCACATCCCCAGTAGGGGGTGTGCAGGAGGCAGCTGATCAATGTTTCTAACTCTCTATCCCTCTCCCTTCCTCTCTGGAAAAAATCAATAAAATGTATTTAAAAAAAAAAGCATGTATCAATGGCAGGATTTATGGCAACGGAGAGATTTTAGAGAGAGCTTCCAGAACCCCTGAAATTGAACTCCCATGAAGCTCAAAGGGACTTCCGTCAGCCTTGGGTGTGTGTCTTCAGTCACACCCAGCCCTCCGCCAGCCATGAGCTCTCTGGGCCTGTGGAGCCTCTGGGTCAGCCTGTGAACTCGGCGTGCCCCTGCCCTACATCCTGGGAAAGCCACAGATGTCTTTCACCTCAGAGTTCTCAGTACAGAGAAGACCACGGCTGCTTCTCTCCACATCCCTGCTTCTTCTTCCTTCTGGTGGGAGTCCCTGGCCCTTCTCACTTCAAATGAAATGAAATATGAAACATAATGGCTGTCAGGGAAATATTGTCACTTTTGAGCAGTGGTTCCCAACTTGGGGCACACACCCCAAAGGGAGGCAATTTGACTGTTAAAAGAGGCAATTCAAGAATGAGTTATTAACAGTGAATTTTTGCATTTCTTATGGTTCTAGGGGCCTCATATACAATGTCTATACTAATAAAAGAGGAATATGCAAATTGTCCAGGACGCCATCACAGTAATAGTAACGACCAGCAGGCTGCATGGAGAGACCAGGCCACGGGGGTAGGGGGGCAATTAGGGGCAACTAGGCTGGCAAAGGGGGGCAGTTGGGGGTGACCTGGCCAGCAGGCAGAGGTGGTTAGGGGTGATTAAGGTTGCAGGAGGGGCAGTTAGGGGCGATTAGGCAGGCAGTCAGGTGAGCAGTTAGGAGCCAGCAATCCTGGAATGTGAGAGGGATGTCCAATGGGAGAGGGTGCAGGCTGGGCTGAAGGGACCCACCCCCCAGTGCACGAATTCTGTGTACTGGGCCTCTAGTATTAATATAAAAATAGTTTTGAACTCATGAACTCACAAAAACAATTTCAGGGGTGTTCAGGAGACCATACATTGAAAACCACTACACAGTGCCATTCCACTTCTCACAGGTATGAGTTTAAACCACATTCCACAGATATGAAACAAAAGCTATCTCTCAATCTCTCTCTCTCTCTCTCTCTCTCTCTCTCTCTCTCTCTCTCCTCCCGACACACACACACACACACACACGCAGACCAGGCCAGCATGGGGGGCAGTTAGGGGCGATCAGGCAGGCAGGCAGGTGAGCAGCTAGGAGCCAGCGGTCCCAGATTGTGAGAGGGATGTCCGATTGCCGGATGTCCTAAACCGGCAGTCGGACATCCCCCGAGGAGTCCAGGGTGCAGGATGGGCTGAGGCCCCCCACCCCGTGCACAAATTTTAGGCCTCTAGTATAAATATATATTGTGACATATTTATGCATTTGAGCTCTCTATTATGTTTTGAAACTTTGCTATTTTTCATATCACTTCATGTTATTATTTTTTAACAGTTTCTTAGTGATTTCTTCCTTAGTACTTCAACTGTCCTTTAATTCTTTTATTTTTCTCTTTCATGGATGCCATGTTTTTTGGAAGTTTGTTCAGACTAAGTTAGTGGCCTTTTAGGCTTCATCCACGTGACTAGAAGTTCACTTTTTGAATAATAAGAATTATATGTCACGGGGGGTGGGGGTGGGGCCAGGGAGAGAACCAGGATTTTAGAGATGCTTAGGTGGGGCACGGCCATAAAAGGTTAGGAACCACTGCTCTAGAGAATCCTAAGAGCGCATGTCTTCACTGACATATTTTCACTATTAAAAATAACCCAGTTCTTCATTATTCAAAATCAAATGAAAGCTGGCTTTGTCCTTCCCACTAGAGTGGTGGGAAAACCACCTCAGACAGGATTAGGGAAACCACTCCTCATCTCTTGGGGTTCTGCAGCTCGGGACATTCAGGGAAGACTGCTGGGACTTGGGCCACCTTAGGTCTACAGAGTGGCGAGAAGCCAACAGCTCTGAGAGCTGGAGTCCCACCGGCCGCCGCTCGGAGACAGCTGAGCAGTGGCAGCCCTCTCTGTACCTGTGCACTCCGTTAGCCTCTGCCCCTCGGGGGTCTGTAGGAATCTGGACTTCCCTGGAAGTCATGACCCCCTTGGCTCTCCATCACTGAGTCCCTCCCCGTGTCTCCTCTCCTCCAGCTTCATGCCACATAAAACCCATGTTCTCTCCTCTCTTCCCCACCCGCTTCCTCCACACTGGGCCTTCAGGGTTCAGGGGCAAGTGTTGGGTGGTTCAGCACGTCCAAATCCTAGGTCAACAACAGTCCCCCTGGACTGTTCCTGGGGTCTTCATGCCCCAAGGATGACCAGCATGCCCCACCCTTCTAGAATAGAAAACAAAGTGTTGAGTTTTTACATCTTGCTAATTACAGTCTCAAAATAAGTTCTTCAGTTACCCAGTTACAAAAATCACAGCATGTCAAAGCTGAAAGAGACGTTAAAGATAATTTCTAGGGACGTTTCCTCATTTTGCACAAGACAAACAAGATCAGAGAAGGCCTGGGAGTTGGCTAACGTCACAAAGACAGGTGTAGGGAGGATGGCTCTTGTGTCCCAGAAGTGGTGAACATCCTGGCCGATCCCCTGCTGGTTATTGCAATGAGGCAGTTATGAACCCACAAGATGTACCTGTCACCATGGCAAGTGTGTGCATCGACTGTGTCGAAAGGCTCTCCTTCTAAATAAATGTAATTGAAAATGAGCATCATCGCCCATCCATGCTAATACGCTTTTGCGTTATTTGCAATTCCCTTTCGTAAATCTGAGGGAAACATCATTGCCCAAATTAGCTCTTTTCGCTCAATAAAGGCCATATTAACATTCGGAGGCTTGTGTTTGCTTACTGCTTATTTAGAGAGAGGTCAGAGAAGTTGGGCCCATGTGCCTAATCCCATTTCACTAAAAGCAGGTGGGGGAGGGGGACCTCCAAAGTCCCCAGAAGCCAGACCGAGTGCCCCCCGGCGGCGGAGGCTGAATGAGTCCCTCGGGTCTCGCAGTGCACCGAACGCTTCCACAGCGACCTTCCCCGAAGGACTGGCCCCGGTGGGTGAAACTGACTCAGCTGGCTCAGGTCTTCCCCTGCCTGGACTCTCAGGGCTGCCTCCCCAGCATCAAATGACAGCTCAAATGCCCCCTCTTCTGCCCATCCACTAAAGCGGCCTTCATGCCCCACGCACTGTCTGTCCCTTATATTTTTTTCTTTCTAGTCTGGCTCAGCCCTGAGCATGCTTTCCTGGCGGCCTTGCTGGAATGGAAGCTGCATTTCCACAGCAACCCTAACCGTTTGTTCACCCCTGCAGCCCGGCGCTGACGTCACAGGTGCTCGCTATTCGTTGAACGAACGAAGGCAGGAAGTCTGGGCTGCTAAGGCCTTGGGAGGCCGCACCCCGGGTCCCAGATCTGTTCTGAGTTCCACTGGGAACTCAGGGAAAACAGTATTTCAGAGCAGACGTGCGTCGGAGTCCCAACTTCGTGTCATCACTGGAGGATAATTTTGGCCTTGATGGTAAACCTCTCGGAGCCTCAATTTTCTAACCTACAAGCTGAGAGGAATGGCACTGATTTAGTGACCTTTCCCAGGCAGCCACCAATCCGCGAGTCACCCTACGAAATGCTGGGGGCGGGGGGCGGCTGGTCTAAGAACCCCAGAGGAAGCGGCGGCGCGCCGAGCCCCATCCCGAGGTGGCGGCCGCCCCTACCCAGCACTTTCCGGCTCACGATTCGTGGCTCCAGCCCTACCAAGGGTCCCGGCGCGCGTAGGCCGGCCAGACCAGCGGCTCTAAACCGTTTCGGGGTCTCGGACCAGACTTCTGTGGGGATCTCATGCACCATAGTCCCTCACCTAAAAAAATGCACTCGCGCCGCGCACAGGATGCCCCGCCAGGACCAACTCCGCGCCTAGTCGGACCTGCGCGGAAGAGGTGCGCAGCGGCGCGCACCTCGTGACGGAGCATGACTTCCAGCGCCGTCCGCAGGCTGCAAAAGGTCGGGCGGGTGGGAGCTATTTCCCATGATCCCTTCATTTGCATATGCAATGTAAGAAGGCTAGGTAGAGAATTATATGTAATTTGGACATAACCAAAAAGATATAGTCACAGTTGGTATTAAACAGAACTCCATAATTTCTTGAATATTTTGGAATTAAAAAAAGGAACACAATATGGTCACCATAACTGTAAAGGTTTTGACATTATGGGCTTTATATATCTGTTGACAACCCCTATGGTTTGTGCTCGCTTCGGCAGCACATATACTAAAATTGGAACGATACAGAGAAGATTAGCATGGCCCCTGCGCAAGGATGACACGCAAATTCGTGAAGCGTTCCATATTTTTGCCTAAGGTCCTATCTTAGAAGGTAGGGTAAAAGGAGGGGGAGGGTAGTCAGATCCATCTGTTTGAGGTGCTTTTTCCAATTGGCACTTGGGCCCCTCTCTTCTCTTGCCTCCCTCTGCTTCCCTCTGCACTATCCTGAGTTGTTACCTTATACTTAAGGAAATGGCCTTGCCAAAGTTGATCCATTTCAGGTGCAAAACATAACAGGACTTTTGTGCTGCGATAAATATAAAGTGATATAAAACAGGAACTTGCAACCAGACTGACTCCTTATGCTGCCCCTGAATCTTAAAAAAAACAAACAAAAAACCCCCACTCCTTATTGGGCAGTGGTGTCAACCTTGGCTGCACATTAGAATCACCTGGGAATCTTTTTAAAATCCTGATTTCTGGGCCTCATTCTCCGGAAATTCTGTTTCTTTGTTACGAATGTTGTGGCCCCACCCCATAACAAAGAAACAGAATTTCCAGAGCACGAGGCCCAGAAATCAGGATTGTAAAAAGATTCCCAGGTTATTCTAACGTGCTGCCAAGGTTGAGAACCACTGTTATTGTGCATCTACCACGTGCCAGGGGCTTCACCAATATCTCATTTTAATATTTCTGACAGGCCTGCCCTATGGGTGTTACTGTCAGCATTATACAGGAGACGCTGAGAGAAGTACAGTAGCCTGGGCTACATTATGTAACTAGGAAGTGACTGAGGCGAGACCTGAGATATTTAAAGAGGCAGCCCTGAAAAGATGGGGTATCTACCCCCAGGTAATTCAATTGCAAAAAGCACCCTCCTAACTAGTAAGATTAGAAGAAGGGGATAATAGTCCAACAAGGTTCAGGTTTCCTGTGATGACTTCGTCAATTTTTTTAATATAATTTTTTTTCTAGGAGAAAAGTGTCGGTGCTTAATTTTTGCTATTACCTGAGCACCCACATAGTACTCCTGGAGGTCCCTACAGCCTCCATCGGTGGCACGGCTCCCAGGCTCTGTGCCACCGCAGTCAGGACCGGAAGTCAGAGGTGGAGCCCCAGCGCCCAACAGGGCAGCAGCGCTACTCTCCCCGTAGGCCCTTGGAGCTGCCACACCGCATTGGATCGGGCATTCATTTCTGTTCTCTTTAGTGGAGGTGAAGTGATCCTTTCCAGGTAACAGAGAATAGATGTACGTGGGACTTCTTGTGCCTCCTCCTGGGCTCATGGCCTCCAATGCATAGAGTTACAGGACAATCTGGTTTTCCTCTCTTCCCCCAAAGATGGCCATGGCTCTTCTTTGAGGCCGCTAGGGCATTGGGTGAATGGTTTTAAATATCTTTACGACCAAAGTTGATTGGCTCTCTCTCCTCATAAAGAAACTCATCATTTTTGGCATGATGGCTGTCTCAGAGCAGAAATTAGGAATGACAGGCTTCTGGAAAAGCCAGAGGCCTGGCTGACTCTCCTGGCTCTGCACAGTTCCATGAAGTAGGTACCCCTCCCCCTCATGTTATAGATGAGGAAGCGGAGGCACAGAGATTCAACAACTTGCCCGATGTCACACAACTGGTCAGTGACAGAGAGGGGACTGAGGCCTATACTGTATGCCTTGATGGGCGCGGGGGTGGAGAGTGGGAGATAAGGATGTTTAGAATGAAGAGAATGAACATGCAAGCCCATGCTGCTTTTGTTGGTGTTCTAAATTCAAGGGCAGAAGTCGAGATTTTGCAAAGGATGAAGGCTATTCTATAGATCAGGGTAGCTGGGAATGAGTACACTGGTATGTGCCCAGTGACCTGGCAAATGTGACAGAGCGAAGGAGCACCCTGTCCGGGATGAGGTTGGAAGAAGAAGAAAGTTTTCCTATTCTAGGTTGATAATCACTTACCTGACACCTCCCCCACCCCCAAACTGATCCTATTGATGAAGGATCTTCTGAGCAATAAAATTGTGCTTAATTGATGAAACCGGTTTGGCTCAGTGGATGGAGCGTCGGCCTGCGGACTGAAGGGTCCCAGGTTCGATTCCGGTCAAGGGCATGTACCTGGATTGTGCGCACTTCCCCAGTGGGGGATGTGCAGGAGGCAGCTGATCGATGTTTCTCTCTCATCAATGTTTCTAACTATCTCTCTCCTTTCCTCTCTGTAAAAAATCAATAAAATATGTTTTTAAAAAAATTGTGTTTAATCAACCTTATGCAAATTAGCTTCTGTTGTCCAGAAGCACCTAGACCAGGGGTGGGCAAACTTTTTGACTCGAGGGCCACAATGGGTTCTTAAACTGGACCAGAGGGCCGGAACAAAAGCATGGATGGAGTGTTTGTGTGAACTAATATAAATTCAAAGTAAACATCATTACATAAAAGGGTACGGTCTTTTTTTTTTTTTTTTTTAGCTTTATTCATTTCAAACTGGCCGGATCCGGCCTGCGGGCCGTAGTTTGCCCACGGCTGACCTAGGGATTCCTTCCCTCAGACATTTCCAGCACTTAGATGAATGACAAGGTTAGAACCCATCCATCTAGATAACGCTTGAGCACCTGTGATGCCCTGGGCCTTGTGCTGGAGGTCAGGAGGAAGAGTAAGATGTGGCCTCTGTTGCAGGAGTACTTATAGTTCTATGGGAAATTGACACAAAAGCAAGGATAACTCAGGGAAATGAGCAACATGTTAGCTTCATGAACGAGTGCCATGGAGATTAGTCCCAGGAATCCAGGGGTCTTCCAGGGGTCCTTTGACCAACCTACTGGTACTGGTTCCTCCCAGGGGAGTGAAAAATCAGGCAACCTGCTGCTATCTCCACCCACCTAGCGGCACTCAGTTTCTCACCCTGGATTCTCTGGAACTGGTGATGATAGAGACCACCTGTCGCACAGTGCTTCCCTATGAGGGGACCAAGTTTCTCTGCCGAAAAGAGAGAGAGGAAAAAAAAAACTAGAGAGAGAGAGAGAGAGAGAGAGAGAGAGAGAGAGAGATTGGTCGAAGGCACATGGTTTACTGATTCTTTACCCCCAGACATCGGACTCCAGAGCCAGTGGTTGGGGTGCAGAACCAAACATCCAGAAAGAACAGCGGGGAGGACACTCTGTGCCCCCCAGCCCGCTCCCAATTCTCTAAACCCCACTTTTTCTCCCTGAAACAAAGTTCCTTAGTCTGGGGCCTTCGGACGCTGGATGTAATGCCTAAAATGTGTCGCAAGGTGGCAACATTGTGGCGAGAAATAGAGCAAAAAATCCAGAGTTGTTTTTTTTCAAAACATATTTTCCCTATTAATGTTTCATTTAACTTAATTAGAATCTGGTAAACTAATTAAAGTAGCTACGAGCCCCGCAATCAGCAATAATTCGTATAATTATTGATAATTACATCCATACCAATCGTTTGGTTATTAACATTTGGGGGGCAACAAACCACTTCTGAAGGGACGCCGGAGCCCAGGAGGGCTTTTGCGACAGAGCTTTCTGGGTCGGGTCCGCCTACACCTCCAATCCTCAGAGATTCCGGCCCGGATGGGGCGCCCTTGCAGGCAGGCCCCAGCCGCCTACGGCTCTTTTTCTTCACTTCGTTCGGGAAATTCGGAAAGGAAAGGTGAAAAGGAGTGTTTGCTAGGCTCTTCTGTGTGGGCCGCAGCCACTGACCTTCCTGCCCGGGTAGTCACTGTTTCCCGTTTTACCAAGAAGGAAAGTGCGGTTGCGCCAAGGGGAGAGGAGCGTGCACCCGCCCACCCAAGCGCTGCAGCCCTGCACCCGCTGCGCTCGCCCTGAGGACGCGAGTCACTTCCGCTCCGGACCCCAGTTTCACTGTTGGTGCCGCGAAGCCTGATCCGGTCCGGCCCACCCCCAGGAAATGTTCCTGAAGGGTCCCTGCCGGGGGACCGTGCGTCCCAGGGCCGCTTCCCTCTGCGAGGCCTCGCGGTTCACCCGGCGCCCTCACCGCCACTCTCCCTCCTGTCCCCTTTATGTAGCCCTCGGAAGAACCTGGGGCCTGAGGTCTCCGAAGGCAGGGTGCCCTGGGGGCTGGCTTCCTGCCTTGACCGTGCGGTGGGCCTCCCAGCCCGCGCCCCCTCCGGGCGTCTCCGATCG